CGCCGGAAAGCCGCATTCCGACACAGGGGGCCGTCCTGGCCGCCGCCGCCGCCGCCGCTCGCCCGGCCCGGCGCGCCGAGTTTCTCGGCGGCTGCTCCGCGAGCCCGGGCGGCAAGGTGCACCTGTTCTTCAGCCGGCCCGCAGCCAACCCTCGGCCAGCACTCTCTGGGAGAGACCAATCCGAGCGCAGCGCGGAGGGCGAGCGGCCGGGCTCGCCTCGCTCCCGCCGCCGCCCGCGGCTCCGCGCCGCCGCCCGAGAGTCAAACTCCAGCGAGCTGCGCCGTCGCCGCCGCGAGCCCGGGGCCTGGGGCGTTCGGGGCGTCCGCGGCGGGTGCTGTCGGACCCGCCGCAGAGGGAGACCCGCGCGCGAGCCGCAGAGGATTCGAAATCGGTCCCCGGCGCCGCTGCCGGGTCACGCTTGCGGAGGTGAAGCCGGAGACCGCGTCGGGGATCCCGGACGACGCGGACCTCCGGCCGGAGGTGGCTCCAGGCGAGCTCTGGCAGCCGGGCGGGTGCGGTGTGCGCCGAGCCGCCGCGGACGGGCTGGGCTTCAGGCAGAGTGGCGCCTCCCACCAACACCTAATGGTGGTTTCTTAATGTGCACGAGAGAAATAAATGATCCTAGCAAACCCCCACTTGGAAGTGTGTGGCAAAAGCACCTCCCGACAGATCGTGAGCCCGTCTCCGGAACGGATCCGATGGGGTCAGACTGACGCTGTGGGGCGAGGGAGCTGGGCCCGAGCGCGTGGGAGGTTGTCTGCACTCCCCAGCCTGATGGCGGGTGCTGCTGGATGGAGAGCCACCTTTCCTCCGAGTTCCTCTGAGAGATGCTGGTGAAGCAGGCGACCTTTGCGCGGTTAGACCTGGCAGATGTCTCCAAGCCGATTTAGGACAACTTACCGTAGAAAACAAAGTATTGTCTTTAAATGTAGCCGAAAGCACACGCACACACGTCACATGGCAACTGACTGTGAGAGGTAAAATTTAGAAGGATTTGGGTCGATACCCAAAATTGTGTCGCGGGTTCCTTACCTTGGGTGGCGAGGCGCCTGTGTACCTGTATCTCAGGTGCAGTGTGGGACCTGCCTGGGGGAACCAGGGGACTGGGAGGGAAAGAAAGGAAGGGATAGAGAGGCAGCCTCAGCGTGCTTTATGCTGATGATGCAAAACCTTGCTTGTCAACGCTCCCCGGATTTCCTGGTCTAAAGTGGAAACTGGAAAGATGTTTTTATTTACAAGCTCCGAGAATGAGAAGTTGAGGATGGCAGGCTCCTGATAAACCTCCCCAGCTGTGTAGGATTGGCGCCGATGCTGGAACCAGCGTTCTCGTGTACCGATACAGCCTCCACAAAGATGAAGTTTTCAAGGTATCCATTTTATTCGCAGGTGGAGAGCCGAACAGTACACGGAAAAGACTGCAGAGAGCAGAGGATGCATTGAAACGGGAACCACCCCCCGGGATTTGGTGCCTACCAGAGTATTTTGCGCAGACACGGTTAATAAATTATTTTCGATGGCAGTAATGCGGCTGTCACCTCTCTCACTCACAACATTGAGACTTTCCCCATAGGAAAGCTTTTGAGTTTCAGTTTGCTAGAACGTGCCCGAATCCAGTAGTGCTGAATTATGGTTCCAAAAATTGCAAGTGAAAAAAATATATATCACAACCCTTGAATCTGTATTCCTTCAGCTTTCCAATGCAAGGCACAGTCTTGTTAAGTGAAAAACTGACCCAATGTCTACCTTCTGTGGGTGCTGGGCAGTTATTGGCCAGCCTTTCCCATATAGCAAATAAAACTTAGCTTTCACACGAAACGTTGTGAAAGTATAGCCGGTGCTGTTGTCAGCTATATGAGACAGGAAATTACTTTTCCAGAAAACGCTCCTAGCACACTGGCTCCCCCAGCATTCCAGTAACCACTCCCTTCTTTGTACAGTGTACAAAAAGGGGTGCTGTAATGCTGCAGCTGGATAGATGCTCTCCGGAAACTCACTGCATTCACCCCGTGTTGTCTGGGTGCTCCCTAATGCCTTCTTCAGCCGCCTCTACAAATTCCCTCTGCTTCTCATTTCCACTTAGCTTTAACAACTTATTCATGGTTCCCTGTTGAGCTCATTTTCTCCCAGATCCCAAGCCATTGCACTTGACTACCCATTAGCTCCTCTCACAGTGAACATCATCACTGGGAGGAGGGAAGGGGGGAGCCCAGTGCTATGATGGCCTTGTACCTGGGAGTACGTTGTACCAGCCCACTCAAGAAAGTTTGACAGATGTAGTCCTCCTTAAGTTGCAATTTTATTGTGAGGCTTCCTGGTAGCAGGTGGTAAGCCCTCGAACTGGAATTGGGGAGGGGGTGTGTCCACACCTGAGTCAAGGGCAAATAGTGGGCACTCTGCCAATACGCAACCAGCTAGTCTGTCCTATGGTAAGGAGGAGTCCTGTTCCAGTGGCTCGCAGTTCTCTGAAGCAAAATACTGGAGAAAAGAGCTTCACACTCAGACTGAGGACAGGGATTCAAGTCAGACCTCTGGCCCTGAGAAGCAATAAAGTCACTCTGGGCTCCTGTTTTCTCACTTGTGAAATGAAACTCTGATACATACATTCTATATAATTATATGAAATTGTATAACTAAATGATCTATTCACCTGTGGTGTCTCTCAAGCATCATTTTCAGGGGCGCCTGGGTGGCTCAATCAGCTGAGCAGCCGACTTCGGCTCAGGTCAGGATCTCACAGTTTGTGAGTTCGAGCCCCGCGTCAGGCTCTGTGCTGACAGCTCAGAGCCTGGAGCCTGCTTCAGATTCTGTGTCTCCCTTTCTCTCTGCCTCTCCCCGGCTCACACTCTGTCTCTCACAGTCTTTCTCGCATTCTGCCTCTAATGTTTTTAGTAAACATTAAAAAAAATTAGAAATAAGAAAGCATCATTTTCAGATATCTTCCTATAGAGAGGGGTGTGGATTTTTCTCATAAATAGGCATGACACACCTCAGCCTCTCCTGAGCTCCATATCTGCCTGAATATAATCACCTTCTGGATGTCTCCTGTGTGATCCCACTAACCCATTAAACTCAGGATTGATGACCGTTGCTTCAAGTTTGCCCACAAACCAGCATTTGTGCTGAACTTCGTTTTTTCCTTTCAGTGGCACTAAATTACCGAAGCTGGGAGTGTCAGTGCCATCTCTGACTCCTTATCTTTCATACTCCAACTTTAATTAGTTGTCTTCATTCATGGCACATTATCATCATCTTGGGTTCCCTCCACTTTAAAGTCTTTGGGAAAGGCCTATCTTCAGAACCACAAGGCTGGACATGAACTTGGTGGCCAAACACCCCCACTGTGTCGTCTCCCAAAGTGTCCCAGCCCAACAGTCATCCGCATCTAGCGGTCTTCTCTAGAGAAGACACCACTTACTGACCCAGCCTGCAGAGAGGATACATTATTACAAAAGCCAACAATCTGCCTTCCCATATTTTCACCCTTTGTTCTTAGATCATTAACTATATAAACCTTTCACTAACTAGGTGGCAGCCATGGAATATACAGCAGATAACAAAAGCTCCCTACGTTCACGGAACTTGTATCTCAGTGGGAGAGACTGACAATAAACAAAATACATGACTTATGTAGTCTCTCAGAAACCACATCCAGGTGGGTCTGCCTGTTGACAACATCCTGACTCCAAGGATTTGAGCATTACATCCCATTATCATAAAACAAACACTAAAATTCATGAATTCTACAGAGCACACAAGACACAAAGTGTAAAAGGGGAGAATGCCAGTTGCTACTCTGTCCTAGTCCAAAAAGATGATTGTATCCACATTCAGAGTTAAGGTATTTAGAAGGTCACCTAACTGCACTCTCACAAATCAGGAAACACTGAATACCAGGGTGTGAAATTCGAAGTGTTGAATGAGGCACTAAGATAAAATAGATGTGAAATTTCAGTGGGAGTTGCCAGAGGACAATGCCAACATTTCAAAACGGGTTAACTAAGAACGGGGGAGATGGCGCAACACATTGTAGATCAAGGGAGGATTTTTGTGAAGATTTCTTTGGCAGAACCTGTGCTCTGAGTTCAAAGCAAGAGGAGCCTACTGATATGGTGAGAGGAGTCTGCTGGAGGGTTCAGCACGGGGCTCCTCATGTTTGGCCGGGCTTCACTGGATTGGGATAGGCACACAAACCACAGGAATCACAAGTCAAGATGGTGAAAGTGGAGAGTGGCAGCAGAGGGCAGTTTAAGCATCTGCCATGCCAAGAATGCATGAAGCCACCATATGGTGTTGAGTCCAGTTGGAATGTAGAGTGACCATAGAGGAGAAGCAGAAGTAGAAAATGAACTAGAAACTTAACGTTGAAGGATCTGAGTGTCATAGTGTCATAGTGAGATGTTTACCATATATATATGTGTGTGTGTATATATATATATATATATTTGCACTAAATCCAAACTGCCTGTATTTTGGGGTACCAACATGGAACATTACTCTTGCACTCAAAGTTGCCATTAATGTTTGTCTTATCTAGTTTACGATCCTTCATCAATGTTTGCCCTTTTAGCCCTAGTATTTTTCCCCAAATATTGGTATAGGTGGATTTTTCTTAGACCATTTCACTGTACAACTCTATTCTTTTGAAATCACTTTATTGGATCTAAAATTGGAAGACTGGTGGATGGAAGTTTGCTTTGACAATTCATTGATCAAGCAACAGCCATGGGCAACCTGGGGCTTTGGAAAGATCCAAGAAAATGTCTTCTCAGCCTGTTCAGAAACAAAAGGTGGTGGATCCCTGTTCTCTCTCTTCCCATCTCCGGACTCCAAAAAAGATTTCATTTGGCAGTTCACATGCCTCTCACTACTCCCAGATCAGGTTAAGTTAAGCTGCAAGTGTAGAAGACATGCAGTGTAGAAAGCCAACTCCCTGAAATGCTTTTTTATAATGGAGGAAGAAAATATCTGTGTCTCAAACTTCATTATCTGTAAGAAACCTAATACAGCTACATTCAGGAAGAGTTGGCTGTGAGTTCTTGTTTGTATAAATAATACTTTGGCTTCATCTCACCTGTGCTTTCTAGAAATTTACATTCTGCTTCCTTAGATTTGGGGATGAAATTTTCATAACCTATAGAGAGAGAAAACAATCAGATAATTTTCCACAATTCTCCACTGGTTTACCTCATGTCTGCACTATAGGGACTTTCTCATGAGCTGTTCCACAGACAGACACCTGAGGACAGACAGCCTTGGCACCAAGCCCCTGAGACCTTGGGTCACAATAGCTTGATGTGCTCAGCATGGGCCTAACTTCTTGCTTTATCTGACAGAATATTAAGATGAAAGCATGAATTTAGAGTTATTTTTCCCCCACAATCTCTTCTGAGGATTACTGGTAGTCTATTAAGATTTTTAAAAATTTTTTATTTATTTTTGAGAGAAAGAGAGAGAGAGAGAGAGAGAGAGAGGCAGAGAGAGAGGAAGACACAGAATCGGAAGCAGGCTCCAGGCTCTGAGCTGTCAGTACCGAGCCCGACTCAGGGTTCAAACTTGTGAACTGTGAGATCATGACCTGAGCTGAAGTAGGACACTTGACCGACTGAGCCACCCAGGCGCCACCCTGGTTTTTGAGTGTTCTACAATATATCTCTTACTTTCTGTATCAGGTCCCAAAATGAATTCTTGATGTAGATACAGTCATTAGTAAAGGAAAAAGCAAAAATCAAGTCAGACAGACTTAATTTGGACTTTCATCTGTTCGTGCAGCTGAAAAATGTCCCCTGTGATGTGCCCAGTGTAATGGTTGGCAGGCAGCAGGTAGGCAGCTCAAAAACAGTAGCTAGTATTCTTATTTCACAAACATGCAGTTTGCCTCAGTGCAGCATTATCTGAGGAGCCCATCTTTTCCAGCAAGTTTGCTGAAGATATTTACAGGAGTTTGGCACTGTGCTGTTGCCACTAATAAGCTGGATCTTAGTGGGGTGTGTAAGCTTCAGGATGAGCAAAAAGGCATTGTGCAGAAGCACTGGCCCTAGGCCCAGGTGACAAATGTACACTTATTCCCTCCATTGTGCACCATGCAGCACACATACTGCGCGACCTCTTCATGCAAACTGGTGCAACTGCTCTGGAAAACAGCACGGAGGCTCCTCAAAAGGTTAAAAATAGAATCATCCTACAACCCAGCAATACACTTGTAGGTATTTACCCAAAGGATACGGAAATACTGATTTGAAAGGCACATTATACCCCAGTGTTTATAGCAGCGTTAGCAACAATAGCTAAATTATGGCAAGAGCCCAAATGTCTATTGACTGATGAGTGGATAAGAAGTGGATATATTATTTTATATATATATTATATATACATATATATGTAATATATGTAATATATATGTAATATATGTAATATATGTAATATATGTAATATATATATAATATATTACATATATATGTATATATAATATATATATAATGGAATATTACTCAACCATAAAAAAGAATTAAATCCTGCCATTTACCATGAAGTGGATGGAGGTAGAATGTATTATGCTAAGTGACATAAGTCAGTCAGAGAAAGATAAATACCATATGATTTCACTCATATGTGGAATTTAAGAAACCAAACACACAAACATAATGGAAAATTTAAAAAGAGAGAGAGAGAGAGAGGGAGGCAAACCATCAAAGAGACTCTTAACTACAGAGAATAAACTGAGGGTTGCTGTAGGGGAGGTGAGTGGGGAGGAGCTAGGTGGGTGATGGGCAGTAAGGAGGGCACTTGTGATCAGCGATGGGTGTTACGTGTAAGTTACGAATCACTAAATTCTACTCCTGAAGCTAATATTACACTGTATATTGACTAACTAGAATTTAAGTAAAAACATAAGACATTTTAAAAAAAGGAAACCCACAAAATTATCATGAATAAGTATTAATAACTCATAGCAGGTTTGGCCCATCTGTTTTGTCTCTAAGAAAGGATATCGCAAGAAGCCAAAACTAGTTTGGGGCTTACAAATTGAAAAAGAAGGAAGGAAAACACCATCTAGTTTATTTAGAAAAAATACCAACTAAAAGCGAAGGGGCTAACAGT